AGACAACCTCTCGTCAATATGCGTTTTTCGCATTGCATTGCTGCAAAAAACGCATAAAAACGAAATGTTGCAGTGGAAGTTTTGGGGACTGCTGCACCGTGTACCACATTTATTCACATGTGTAGTATAAGTAGCACAGTTCTTCAAGACTGGCAGGTACTGATAACACTGCCCCCCGCCCCCCCTTCCTTTTCCCTCCCCTGCCGTCCGATGACCGCTTAGAAACACTACTCTATGTGTGTGCCGATCGTGCGTATGAAAAATGGACGACAAAATTTGCTACTCTCTTTAGATTTGTCATTCGCAAAGGAAGGAGGACAATGACAGCAAGCAGGAGACAGCTGACTGAGAATGATTGATTGGTCATTTTTTGCACTTGTTGTTGTCTGCTTTTGTCCCCATGCCAGGGCAGTATCAACTGAAAACCACTGGACTAGAAATTTGCGTATTTCCAAGAAACTGCTTCGGCGGTTATCTTTTATATTTGGAAGGCGTTAAAGTCGCCACTACCGACTGATCAATTGTTGCTGACTCGTCTAATATCGCAGAAACCCAGGACGGTTTCAGCTTGCTTATCGTGCGATCCTTGGATATGAGTGCGATTTACGACCGACCAGTGCCGCTGGGCATCAAATGTTCGTAGAGCATTCTCACTGAATCTCAGGCAAATACGTCTGCGTCTTTGTGAAAATGACTTGCGGAGATTGACATAGCTTTAAGATTTTTCTCCGCGCAGTGAATCCTAACACAAACACATGTAAAAATGATTTGTGGAACAATATCAGAAGCGAGCGCGATCCCTCATTTTTTTGCTCTTAAAGACACATCATATAAAAACGCACTTTTTGAAACTTTTCTTTTTTCCGATGAAAATTCACCCAATTTTTTTAATCATTTTTCATTTTCGTTCTTTTTTTTTTCAATAGATTGAAAAGGTAGCGTTTCTGATAGCTCGACTAATTCATTTTCAGGGCTACAAGGAGTTAAAATCTTTACAAGCCGCATAATCTAGTCGTAATCTGATTTGTGAATGAGGTTCCAGACTAAAACTGGCCTTACCTTGCCTCTTACCGCGGATTCCGCTATAGATGAGTATTTGAATTCTGGAACTCGGCAGGAAAGAAATTTTAAATTTTGAAGGAGTACGAGTAAAATTAAAAAGCATCCTTACTTCCAGCTCCCTTCTTCAGTCTGCGCCCTGGAGCTGTTTTTAAAGCATTACCGCAATAGTGGAAACAGAAAGAAAAAAACAACTGACTTGCAACATTAACGGTTCTCTGCCTGGGAAAATAACTATTGAAGATGCTGGAACGGAAAGTGTTGTACACTTACCCCTTTAAAGCAGATTAAAATGGAGGACTGGAAATTGCAAGAGGACAAAGCTTTGAATGTATTTAAATTGAAGGAGTGCGCTGGCTTGCTCCCCTCTCTGTAAGACTTATGATACTCTTGAGAATCATTTGATCATTTGAATTTTGCTTGCACGCCTTCTGGCATCCCCTGCGGAGTTGACCTGGTATTAGTACCTCATAACTGGTGTTTATGATCTGGCTTTTGTTGATTACCCCGTCCTGTTCAGTAGCTGAACGTCATTCATAAGATTCAATTTTGCAGTCGCATCTCTCACTGTAATGTTCTGTCAAAAAGGCAGTCACTGTGTTTCCAGTGTGGACGCAACAGTGGTTTTTTAAACAGCTGCCTGGTGGCAAGCCCTTTGTCCGACACCTCAATAGTCTGCACGACCAGATAACGGTTGAAAAGTTTGATTTCATAACAAGCTTGAGCGCACGAGGTCTGTACGATACAGCTGTGCTGTTGTTCATTACAGCACCACCTCCGCATCACCTGAAATTCTTGAAACAGCTGTTAATCCATCTCTGAACCTCAGTTTACTTTGTTGGCGACTTCGTCTGCAATTAATTTTCCACATCCAGGCTAATTCATACAGTCAAGTTAGTAGATCGCCCAACGCGCCGTTGGCATTATTTTTAATCCGCCAACATAAAGTGGGTATCATCCAACTATTTATTTCGTCCATCCATTAATTATTCTTACCACATAACTAACCGTAGCTTCTTTTTCTATAGTACCTTTATTATTATTGTTATTACTATGCGTTTTTAGCATATATGCAAATGTATGTGTCTGTGTGTTTGCACTTTTTGTCACCCACTTTCAACTCAGGAACCAGAAATGCTAGAAGGTTGAAACTTCGTGAGTATGTGTCCATCACCTGACGACCCTTCTGTTTTAATATCGTCATTCGCGTACTCCCAAGTGTCGCGTACAGACGCCTAAAAATATGCAAATATTTTTGGCGCGAAAGCGATGTCGGGAACCAGGAAAGAGAGAGAGCTGAAACTCTGCAGCGATATTTCCTGTGCAAGTCTGAGTTGAAGATTTCAAATTCAGCCCTAAATGTGCATGGCTTTCATGTACGGGCACGTGAAAATTTTGTTGGGAAAATTGCTAACTCAGCAACCAGAAAAACTGGGAGGCTGAAATTTTAAGGGTATATTCTCCGTCCACGTACAATTTAAAGATTTCAAATTCAACACCCCGGCACGCGTTGTACTCAAATATGGGTGTTTGAATGTTACAAGAATCAGAAAATCTGGAAAACTGAAACTTTAGGGGAATGTTTCCTGCCCAAGTACAACATATCTCAAACTTAGCCTCCGGGTATGCGTGATTCTTACGTACGAGCACTTAAAAGTTCAGGCGGAAAAATTGCTCACTGAACAGCTAGGTCATTTTCAAAGAATATCCGTTAGGAAATTGTTTATTTCCTTTATGCAAAACTTATGGTGATTTAAGCTGGTAAACGCAAAAG